TCTTGCTGGGTTTTGTCTCCGATGTGGTCATGTTATTAGTGACCCTGCTAGTGGGGGAGGTTTATAAACGCTAGCACATGTCGACATGTTAGTGACAGAACCGGTTCGCTCGTGATATCCTACTAGTGGGATTATACACTAGTAATCGTGTGCCTGCCAGTGGGAGGTTTATAACACTGGTCATGACTAATAGAGGAGACCACTATGTGATTTTACTTTGCATTAATGGTTTGTTATTGAAACGCTCTATTTATGTTTCAACCGATTATTTGGCATGCTTTAAATTTTGATTCCGGGCACCTATGTTTACTTACTGAGATATTTTATCTCACGGTTTCCTTGTCCACCATTTCAGGTAGTGAGATCCGACGCGTGGGAAGCCCAGGGGAGTGACGAGCTAGACGGCTAGGCATTTTTGGATTCAGTTTTGTAGCTAGGCCGCTAGTCACCCATGCTGACTTAGGAATTTTGTGTACAGAACTCCTGTAGTTATAGTAAGGATTGTATAGATGAATTATAACTCTTTGTACACTTTGACAAGTAAATGTGTAGAAAGAAAAAGAAATTAGATATGACCTGAATTATCTGAATTAGTAGCATGAACTTAGTAAGTTTCGAGCCTTGTGCATTGTGAGACCCGTTCCCAAATGCACGGCGTCTGTTTCGCTCTCGGTTTGGGGCGTGACAAAGGCAGTAAGTTGAAAGTGATTTTGTACCTGAAGAGAACCGAAGAAGAAAGATTTTCAGGTCAAAGAGGATCCAGAGAGAGAATGACCTCGGCGAGAAGATGAAAATTTGATGAAGAACAAAAGAAGTATGAGGATCGACCGATCGAGAGAGAGAACGACCTTGGCGATGGTGACAAGATGTAGATCTGATGAAGAACAGAAGAGGTGTGATTCTGAATCTGGACGAAAGAGATAAGGAATCATTGTTTTGGGTTTCTTCTTTGCAATTTGTTTGGAATCTGGAGAATCAATGGATTAGAGTTTAGAGAACTGGAGAAGAAGAACTGCAAACTGGAGATTGGGGAGGAACAGTAACGAGTCGAAGAAGAACTGAAGAAGGCAGGTTCCTGATCTGATTTAGTGATTTTATCGATTTGCATTCAAATTATGTTTTTTTTTTTAAGTATTTTACCATGGAATTATAATGTGTAGAGGAGGGCAAAAGGGGTATCAAACAAAAAAAAAGTTTAAAATAATTGTTGAATTAAAAAATGGTTGAAAAAATTGAAAACGGCACATTTGAGTTTGGCCCACCAGGTTTACCCGGTTTTTCGAGTTGGACGGTTTTACCGAGTCTGGCGAGTTTGGGCGGTTGGATCACCTAAACGGTTCTGGATATGCATCTGGCCCATTTTCATGATCAGGTGGCGGTTTGACCAGTTCGATCGGCCAATTCGGTCCAAGTTTCAAAACACTGGCTGCAACTATTGCACTTCATAATTATATTAAGCAACATGCAATCAGGGATAAAGAATTTGATATATGTGATTAGAACCCAAATTATATGCCTAAAGTGCCTGGAGAAGAGAGTATAGATCAAGAAATTTCTCAAAGTAATTTTGTTAGTACAATGGAGGATCATGACATGATTTCACTTAGAGATTCCATAACTCTATTCTTAATGCAAAATCAATCAAGATGATTATTTGACATAAATTTTAATTTTAATTGTCTTATTTATGTGACTTAAATGTAGTATATTTTTTTTAAATATTGAAATAGAAGCATTTATCTAGTATTTATGTTTTAAAATATGAATAATTAATTTTTGATCATCAACCCTAAACTAATTATAAAAATAAAGTCATACAAAAATATAAAAAAATTTGGAGTGGGAGTGGTGATTAAATGTACTATATTTTATTTTTTAATATTAAAACATAAGCATTTATATAGCATTTATGTTTTAAAATATGAATAATTAATTTTTAATCATCAACCTTAAGCTAATTATAAAAAAAAAGTCATATAAAAATATAAAAAAAAATTTAGAGTGGGAGTGGTGATTAAATATGAATAATTAATTTTTAATTATCAACCTTATAAAAATAAATTCATATAAA